ATAAACTACTAAATTCAGACAACTTAATAAACCCAGAGAATTATTCATTGTGACTAACTCAGGGATAAAGAGAGCCCAAATTTTCCAGTTTGTTTTACCATCATCCTTTCCTGAGTACTTTTTGTAGAAAACTGTGCTAAGGTGATCTAAACTTTATTAAGAGACTTGCATGTAACCATGATAAATGGTCTGATTTATGTTAGCATGATCTCCTATAATTGTCAAATTTCTAAGTAACTTTCCTGCTCCTTGTTTCAGAGTATACTCTTGGTTCGTGTCTCAGGCCTTTTAGATACTGCATCTACCTAGGAGGGTGGGGGGCAGTGAAAAGGAAAAGGTAGGAGGAGTCCTACGCACACATCTCTTTACCCACAGCAGCCACTAAAACCATTAAACTGAAATAAAAATTCATATGAAGTCGTTCTTCAAATAAAGTAAGGGACAACAGAAAAGATCAGAAAGCTGGATGTTTCCAGGATTGACTTACAACAGAGAGATGATCAGCCAGTTGTTAACCAGGACCCTTAATCCTTAACTAGGAAGAGAAGACATGGAGCAGACCCATGTTGAGTTTTCAACTTGGCTGTCACCAAAACTGATCTTGTATAAAACCCCTGGGTCAGGGTTTTAGCTCAGTAGTAGAGCACATGCTTAGCAGATGCAAGGCCTTAGGTTCAATTCCCAGCACCAGAAAACAAATCCTTAAAACCTACCTCTTTAGTGCAAAAAATTAAATAAGGGCTGGACAGGTGATAACAAGTATAGTTCCAGCTTTGAGACAGTAACTTTTGCTTTTGATTACAACAAATTCAGAACCCTTCATTCTAGAGTAGTGATAAATCTACACAATATTCTCACTCCTGTAACAGGATTTAACTACTGAACATGAACAACTTAACATCTGGGATGGGGAGCAGGGATAATCCTCTAAGGCTTGCTTTATTATTTTTTTCCATTTCTATTACTTACAATTCCTCAATAATTGTCTTCATTTTTATAGAAAAGAGGTTAAACATGGGTTTAGTGTCCAAACAGGCTCAGTCTCCAATACTCTCAGCAGGCTTCTTCCCTCAAATTCCTTCCTCTCTGCCATAACACTCATACAAAGGGAGTTTCTCATTGTGTCCTTAATGCTAACTGCTCTGGATGCTCTCAATTTAGGAGAGGAGGTTTCAAATTCCCCTCCTGCTTGTCTTAAAGCAAAGAGGAAAGGTGAAAAATCAACACAAAATAAGCTATATACACAAAATTAAGGCACATAAACTGGGTGGTTTAATATTAGCAAAGGCCAAACTGAAACTTGATAATGAAAATGAAGACACAGCAATATTTTATTCAACAAAATAAACATTTGGAGGAAGAAATATTTTCTAAAAATAAAATAAATGTTTTATTTGCAAAAGCCAGTCTCTTATACAAGGTTTTGAAATCTATACTTTCACTTATCAATTACAGTGGTATTTTAAATGCATTGAATAATTCACTGAATATATTTGTCTTTCTGCCTTAATTTAGAAGATATTAGGTTAAAAAATAAAAAAATATTTAGTTCCAACCTGTCCACCTCCCCTCCTACCCATATACCAGAACCATTCTCCACATTTCAGGTAAGTAAAAAGGGTCACAAAACTTGAGTTTCACGTGGATATAAGAATGTGCCCAATAATTCTAAGCATATGTCATAATTTTCTTCTTAAGCCCACTCAGAAAAAGAGGATTTACTGAAACTAAGCATACTTTACAACTTCCCTCCCCATCTTTATAGGTTTGCCTCGGTCCAAATTTTTCTGGCCCCCTTGAATTTGCAAACACTGAAAAAAATGTAAAACAAAACATGACATACAAACATTTATCTATACTGAATAACACAGCCCTAACTAGAAGCAAATATAAACTGAATCACCAAAAATCAATGTGGAAAAATTTCAGGAGACTGTAGGGGGACAGCTCAGTGGTAGGGCATATGCTTAGCATTCTTGAAAGCCCTGGGTTCAATCCCCAGGACCACCTAGACAAAAACAAGAAAGCAGCAACCAACAACACAAAGCCAACAGACACAAAGATTCCAATAGTCTCAGAGTATAACTGAGGTTTTAGAAAAACCAAAGGTGAATATAGCTGATGCTTAAACTATCTGTCTATATTTAATTACATGAGTTGCATTTACTTAGGAGCCATGACTATAAAGTTTTCTAGACTTTAATACTTTTAAAGTGAGAAAAATAATACCCAGTGACTTCAGAAAAGACAATGATCTATAACCACTCAAAATGTTTTTGAATAGGGGAGAACAGTAATTTAGTGAAAAACACCAACAAACAAACAAAAGGAACAACAACAACAAAGAAAAACCCCACTTAGTTTCTAATAAGAATCCTGGAAAAGGTACCCGAGAGATGTTGACAAATACTATGTGGCTAGGACTGTCACGATATTTCTCAAGTTTTATGCTTTAAATTTTCTAAACATATAGCTAACAGGCACATACATACGCCAGGCAACTACTGATGCTAGAAAAATATTTTAGTCAGCATTTTATAAAACCTCCAACTTCAAACCAACATTTCTGTTCATAAGTGTTCCAATAACAATGTCTGACAATACATTACAAATAACAATGAAGCAAAATTAAGTTTGAGTTGCCTCAAACAAGTTAGTTGTTATTTTCTTTTAATGTGACACTTAAAATAAATGAATTCAGAAGAATGGTTTAAAAAGTTAAGGCTCTCTAAAGAGTTCTAAAGACTAAAACTTAAGGCACATGTTATAATCTTTTTGACACTATTAAAAGCTAAGATTAAAATAAAACAAGACAAAAAACACTACTTCTTTCCACATACTTTGCCAACCACTCCCTCCCCAAAGCATATGATATTTTCAATTCAGGCTATTGGTAAGGAGTGAAACAAAAACTCCATCATGAACACTGGTATGTTTTCCACACAAATGTTCACTGTCTGTGTTGAGCACCACTGATAGACTACAGGCCAGTAGAGTATTTTCAGAAGTCTTGGGTCACCAACTGCTCCATTTACGCTCCAGCCTCTTTGGTTCAGACTGGACTCTCTTCCTCTTTGGGGTCTCCTGTGCTTTTTGGCTTTGGAGATTCTGCTGCTTTAGTAACTTCTTTTGGATTATCACCAACATCCATTCTGGTCTCCTCCTCTTTACTTTCCTTTTTCTGCTTCTCATCTAATTTCTGTTCTTTTGCCAAAAGTCGATAATTGATTCCCATGCCAATGAAGAGATAGATACCAGCAAAAATTAGGATCACACCACATGACCAGTATGTGTATTTGTAGTCTCCATACAAGTCATTGAGACGACCTAAAGAGATAAAAAAGAAAGAAAGCAATGTGGATAAAAATGAACAGGGATACCCTTTCCCAAAGTATTAAGGATCCTGTCAGGAAAAAAAAAAAAAAAAAAAAAAGATGTTGATCCAATCTTCTACAAGCCCACAAATGACAAATCAGTATAAAAAGGAATTTCTAAAAATTATCTATTTAGAGTCGCCTTGTATATTGTTATTTTTGGCAACTTGAAAAATCATCAATTCTCGGGCAAATTCGAGTTAGCAAAAACCTGGAGATCAATCTGTAATCAAACCCCTCAATACATAATGGAAAAAGTGTTGCTCAGAATCTGGGACTCTTGTCTGAGGACACAAAGCTATTCCAGTTACAAGAGGACAATGCTCTTTCTCTAGCAGAATTTCCCAAAGAGTGTCCTGTGAACACTTGCCCTGTGCTGGTAACTAAACTAACAGCAATATTTAGCCACCATTCCAAGCACTTCATTTTGACAGGCACATTCCATGGTCATCCTCATTTTATCTATACAAAAGTAACTTATCCAAGGTCATAAAACTAATAAATGTAACCATTTGGCTTTAATCTGGGAATTCTGATCCCTGGGTCTATTGTGCAAAAGTGAGCCGAATATTTCAAAGGTCAAAAGAATCTGGGGTGGCATATCCCTTCCTTTTATCTTCAAGGCTTTGTGAAGTCTGATAGTAAAGAAATCCATTTAATTGGTGTTTCTACAGGAGGACCAGTTAGGATTGTACCATTAGGATCAGGAGGAATAGGAAACAGGAGTTTGGTTAAGGGTGGTAGTTGTGATGGAGAAAAATGAGCATTAGAAAGAGATTAAGGAGATGAAATTTGACAGAATTTGTAAACTCATTGGGAAGAGATTAGAGGAAGAGAGCCTTATGAAAAGACAACTGTAGCCAGGCATGGTGGCATAATCCCAGCCAAGTGGGAATAGAGATAGGATTGCAAGTTCAATACCAGCCTCAGCAATTTAGCAAGTCCTTGTCTCAAAAATAAATAAATAAAGATGACCGGCACGTGATTTAGTGGTAAAGCATCCTTGATTCAATCCCCATTATCAAAGAAAAAAACCAAAATGATAGCTGTCGACTTTTGTTCACTCCCCAAAACGAAATTCCAAAAGTATGTATCATATCCAAAAGAGGTTCAAATTACTTTCTTACTTTGTGTTATCTATGGAGCTATTAATTTATAAGATGAAGTATTTAGTAACCTCAGGGAATAGTTCCCAAATTACACACTGACTTACAAGCTATATAATCTTGGCCAAATTATTTTACATTTTCAAGCTTCTATTTCTTCACTTATGAAATGGGGATTAAAATAGTCCTACCTCACAGCCTTGTGAGATGCAACAGATACATACAACTTTAGTGTTGGTACCACTGTAAACTTACACAACAGCTATTATTACATTATTTCTACTGGAATAAATTCCAGCATTAAAATAAAACTCCCTGAGGGCTGGGGATATAGCTCAGTTGGTAAAGTGCTTGCCTCCCACGTACAAGGCCCTGGGTTCAATCCTCAGCACCACAAATAAATAAGTAAGTAAGTAAGTAAATAAGTAAAATTCCTGGAGCCGAGAATGGTGGTGCATGACTACAATTCCAGCAAAAGCAGGAGGATTACAAATTCAAGCCCACCCTCGGCAACTTAGATCCTGTCTCAAATAAAAACAACAACAAAAATCTCCAAAGTACTTTTAAAGGTAGAATCGTTCTCCTACAAAGAATGTGTTGTTAGTTTTAGTGATAGAAAATTTTAAAATATTGTCTTTTAAAATATCTGATCCTGCTCCCACAATCTTTCATGCCCTTCCTTTCCATCTTGGGCCTGGCAGAATGGCTCCCACAAAGAAGGGTTGCAAGAGGAGGGGCTGTTCTGCTATCAATGAGGTCGTGACCTGGGAGTACACCACCCACATTCACAACATCTGGAAATCTGCCATGATGAAGGAAATGGGAACTCCAGATATGCACACTGATACTAGGCTCAAAGCTGCCTGGGCTAGAGGAACAAGGAATGTCCCATATCACATTCAAGTGCAATCATCCAGAAAACATAATGAGGACGAAGATTCACCAAACAAGCTCCATACTTTGGTAACCCATGTCCCTGTTACCTTGTTCAAAAATCTAGTCAACGTGGATAAAAACTGTAAAACAACAACAACAAAAAAACCTGATCTTCTTGTACAGCTGATGGTTCCATTTTATTTGACTCTGTATATCAGCAATTATGCTTTGTCAAGTTGTGTGCCAGTACTGAGAGCACAGAAATGAGACACACCTGCTCTTTGTCAAACAGCTCACTAATGTTTTCTATCACTGTCCCAATCCTGTAAATCTATATTTTGAATTTCTTTTTCAGTTGTAAATGGACATGATAACTTTATTTATTTTTATGTGGTGCTGAGGATTGAACCCAGTGCCTCACATGTTGTTGTTGTTTTTGGATAGCAGAATCATAGAGGTAGGAAAACATACTATACCTAACAGTGGTGGCCCCAGAAGGACAGGACAGCATTCCACAATGGTCACCAATCCCACAGCGCTGGAGAACCTCTGTGGTCCAACGAGGTCCATCAGTGTTTCAAACAATACAGAGCTGAGCCACCCAAAGGCAAATCCAAAGAATCCCGCATAGATACAGAACCCAATGTAGGTGTTGGCAGATAAAGGTGCTAACAAATGGCATGCTCCATTTGCAATAACAGAAGCAGCAAAGAAATACTGGACTCGAGGTCTTATCCACTTTGTGTTGGCTACCAGTCCCATGGAAGGTCTGGCTACCATGTCAACAAAAGCCAGAATGGAAAGAAGGAAGGCTGACTTCTCACTAGAATAATGCTTACTCTTGCCATAATTACTAAGAAAAACCAAAGGTGTAAAGAGTCCAAAAAACATGATCACATTTCCAGAGAGATACAGCAAAAAGCCTCTGTGTGTGAACAGGGACAAGTCCAGGAACTGGTTAATTTTTTGAATAGGTGAACGTTTTTCCTTTTTGCGGTTTCCTCCAATGAGATCTGTATTTGCATCACCTACATTCTTTGCATCAGATTTTCCAGCTTCTTGAAGGGATTCTTTGGACCTAACATTTTCTTTCTTTGTTGGCTTTGGCCCTATGGGTCGCATCAAGGATCCAGCTACACAGCAATTTAATAGGAGGCCCCCAAGAATTAGGAAGCTTCCTCTCCAGCCAAAGATACCAAAGAAAGCCTGATTGAGGGGGGCCAGAGTAGAGAGGAACACAGGGCTGCCAGCCATAGCCAGTCCATTTGCCAATGGTCTCTTCTTGTAGAAATACTTGCCAATCATGGTCAAAGCAGGATTCAAGTTGAAAGCAAGCCCAAGACCTAAGGGAAAGGGGCAAAATTAACTTTTATAAATATCAGAAATATCTCCAATATTACTTAACCAGACAAAGAAACTAAAATAGGAGGTGTAAGTAATAGAAAGGGACAAAAGAGTCTCATTATTGGCTACATTCTATAGTGGTTTAAAGTGTGAATTCAAAAGTGAACTACAGAATTCAAATCTCAGCATCACGACTTACTGGCTATGCAACAGCCCGAACAACGAGTAATACTATTTCAAAATAAAATATAAGCTGGGCATGGTGCTGCACACCTGTAATCCCAGTGGCTGGGAGGCTGAGGCAGGAGAATTGTGATTTCAAAGCCAGCCTCAGCAAAAGCAAGGTGCTAAGCAACTCAGGGAGATCCTGCCTCTAAATAAAATACAAATTAGGGATGAGCATGTGGCTCAGTGGTTGAGTGCCCCGAGTTCAATATCCAGTACAAAAAATAAAAATGACTAGGAATGTAGCTCAATGATAGACTCTCCCTGGGCTCAATACCCAGTACTTCAGGCAAGCACTCAACTACTGAGCTATATTCCCAGTCCCATTATTCTTATATCAGTAAGAAAATGAATTTATTATAACAGTTGTCAAAAAACATGTTAAAAAATTATACTCAAAAGACCTAGACACAAAATGAAAAAACATTTTCTAGATTACCCCTTACTTTCCTAATATGCAGAGACAAATTACAATCTGAAGGTACGCATTACCTATTGAATTAGAAATGATGAAACAAACAAACAAACAAAAAAGGATACCCCATTGCTGGCAAGTACATCCTCTCTCATACTGTGGCAGGACTCTTATTCACCCTTTTCTGGAGGACAATTTAGCATATATGTATTTAAATAACAAACATAGAAGGAAGGGAATGTATCTCAGTGGTAAAATGTTTGCCCAGCATGCACAAAATACCCAGCAAAAGAAACAGAGAAAATAAAAAGACACACAGCAGTTTCCCTTTAAAACCCTTAATAGGCAGGCATGGTGACAAATGCCTGTGATCCCAGCATTCTGGAAGGCTTGAGGCAGGAGGCTCATGAAGTTCAAGGCCAGTTTCAGCAACTTAATGGGGCCCTAAGCAATTTAGTGAGATACTGCTTCAAAATTTTAAAAAAAGTGGGGACGGGGGGTGGGGGGTAGGTGGGGGGGAAATTGTCATTCAAGAGATCTGAAAGTTGAACGCAATGAGTACTAAACGACCAGCAAAAAATTAACACTCAAAAATGAATAATACTTTACCTCCAATGACACCAATACACAAGTAAAGTTCCGATACAGTGTTACAGAAAGAAGCTGCAATCAAGCCACAGCCAGACAAGCAGCCACCAATAATCATGACTGGACGACTGCCGTATTTATTCACCAGGATACTGCTGATGGGACCTGGGAGAGAACAAAAAATTTAATATATAGGAACCATATTCCCTCATATCTACACAAGGCATGAATAACAATAAAGAACAAGTCCTCTAAAATGGCAATGATAAGAATCTTTGTGGGCTGGGGATGTGGCTCAAGCGGTAGCGCGCTCGCCTAGCATGCGTGCGGCCCGGGTTCGATCCTCAGCACCACATACAAAAAAAGATGTTGTGTCCGCCGAGAACTAAGGAAAAATAAATAAATGTTATCTCTCTCTCTCTCTCTCTCTCTCTGTCCCTCCCTCTCTCTCACTCTCTCTTTAAAAAAAATTTGTCATAATTTACAATACATGTGTATTTCAATTCATTGTACACAAATGGAGCACAACTTTTCATTTCTCTGGTTGTAGATGATGTAGAGTCTCACCACATGTGCAGTCATATGTGTACCTAGGGTAATGATGTTCATCTAATTCCACCATCTTTCGTGCCCCCTTGCCCCCTACCTTCCTCTCCCTCCCCTTTGCCCAGTTAAAGTTCCTCCATTCTCCCCCACACTCCCTCTCCCTCTCCCTCATGATGGGTCAGCATCCACTTATCAGAGAGAACATTCCTTGTTTGGTTTTTTGGGATTGGCTTACTTCACTTAGCATGTTATTCTCCACCTCCATCCATTTTCCTGCAAATGCCTTAATTTTATTCTCTTTTAATGCTGAGTAATATTCTATTGTGTATATGTACCACAGTTTATCCATCCATCTGTTGAAGAGCATCTAGGTTGGTTCCACAGTTTAGCTATTGTGAATTGAGCTGCTATGAACATTGATGTGGCTGTGTCACTGGTATGCTGATTTTAAGTTCTTTGGGTATAGACCAAGGAGTGGGTTAGCTGGGTCAAATGGTGGTTCCATTCCAAGTTTTCTTTTCTTTTTTTTTTCCTTTTTCTTAAATATTTATTTCTTAGTTATTGGCAGACACAACATCTTTGTTTTTTTGTTTTTTTTTTTTTTAATTTTAATATTTATTTATTTATTTTTTTAGTTCTCGGCAGACACAACATCTTTGTTGTATGT